AGTGCTATCCTCCTTGATATTTACATTTCACAGAATAACTCTCATGTCCTTGAGAAAGATATTCCTGAGTCATAAAGCTGACAAAGTGCTTGTTTAGTTTTCAAAAGGATTTATTATATATACATTTCAAAGAGAATGGAAAATACTTCCACTTATTTTTCTTAAGTAAGTAAATGCTCCTAGAAAAAAGGAGAGGAAGGAAGTCTTTTCCCTTACTTTAAGCAGGGAGAATTAAGCCTCTTATTTTTAATTTATATTTGCCATACACCTTCTTTATTTGCTTCTATCTTAAGCAGAAGGACCTTGATCTTGTTAATCTTATAGCAATACTGTGATAAACAGAAATTTTAATTGCACTTGTAATTTAGTTTTATTTTATTTTAAACAAAATTGTAGTTTAGTTTTATTCATTGTTAACATTTGAAATTACTAAATTCTACATAAAAATTAGAATTTCTTAAAAGGAGAGTGATGGTATCAGAAATTCAGCAAAAGATAACTTGACTAAATCATTATGTTATAGCCAAATAGCTTACAACCCTGAAGCCATGAAATAAATGTGACCATAAGTGAAAAGTTGAACAATGAACTTTCTTTTCAAAATAAATAAAAATAAAGTCTTTGTTTTCTGAGGTCATAAGTGTTTGATGTTTTGTTTTGTTTTTTCATTTTGTCTGCAGTTGAAACTTTAAAATTTCCTACATTCCTCTCTACAACAAAATCAGAGGCAGACACTATTTGACTATCAGTTTTATAGTAGTAACATAATTCTGTTGACAGAATTATAATCTCAGCAAGGATTACTTGACTTAGATCTTGATTTGTTTTTAGTTTTTTTCCCCTTACCCTCTTTCCTTATCCTGATTGAATGAATTTTCCTTTCATAGATCCTATTAGTAGGCTGCTATATATTTGAGACCCCAAACTCCCAATGAGTTCCCTCTCACTGTTATAATGGTGTAGTGCTCCTTACCCTTCCAATATCTGTATGGTGCAGTCTTAACATTTGCTGAACTTCACTCACACACCTGCTGGGCTCCTTATTTGTTCTCAGAGATGCAATCTTCCATCAGCCACTTCTTCCTTAAAGGATACTCGAGGGAAGACCCCTATCAGTGTTCCATATTTGTCTTTATAGCTATAATGGCCTATGATAACCATAACACACACATTCTTGGCTCTCTAGTCTCACTCACTCCACAGTGACCAGCTTGTTGACAGTTCTTTACAGGCCACTTAATCACCCTGGCCAGCCAGGCCTTGTAGACTGCAAGTGATCACACACTTTGATCTTTCTTGAAGTTGCTCTTGGTAGGACAGGAGTACTTTTTGTCCCATTCTGGATTTAAGTAAAAAGGAATAGCATCCTGACGGAATACTGCTGGAAAAATTGACCCTTTCCCTTTGTCCCTCTACCACCCCCATGTGTGTTATTTGTTTTTTCTTTACAATATTGCTTCCCATTGACGCCGTCTTCATAGTGTTAATAATTCTGAGCAGAAAAAATAATTGAGCATTAATCAGGCTGCACTTTGACCCAGTTCCTTATAACTGAAAGTAACACTTGATACTCTGCATCCCCATTGTATCCATAGGTAGGATCCATGATGTTAGAATTTTAAGGCTTTGTTGTAGAAGTGTTTAAGCAAATTCTGAATTTCAGCATAACCACTGATTCCAGCCAGTGTGAAGACCCCACAGAGGAACCAAATCAGTGTGAGAATATAGTTTCTTTATCTCCCTGACCCATGACTTCACTGTATACTCTTCAATCAATCAATGATCTTCACATGTCAGCCACTCCAAAACTGTTAAAATCTCTAGCTCGTCCCCTCAGGGAGATGGATTCGGGGTTTCGTCCCGTCTCCTTGTTTAGCAGCTCTGCAATTAAACCTTTGCTGCAACACAGTGTGGCTCATAGATTTGCTGTGCAGATCAGGCAATGGCCCTACTATGGTTATGCTTCCAGTCTCCCAAACGTGACTGTGCTGACTGAGATCTGTAGAGAGCAATCATGAAGTCTTTCCTATATACTGTATGAAGTGAACATTAGTGTTTAGAATGTTATAATCTTAACCATGTGGAATTTGTAATTTTCCTGTTAGGATCTCTTTGTATGGAAGTGAGAATTGAAAACTCTTATGTAAATTGCTAAACTTTGAAAGATTTTTGCAGAATTTCTGCCTCCAGATATTTATCCCACAAAGAGTACATTGTGACTAGTCAAGAAAGTAGAAATCCAGTTAATAATATTGCCATCCCCATTTTTTAATGTTAAACAGATTTCAGGATGTTTTGAACCATAAGCCACTGACTGGATTTTTTGAACCATAAGACATTTTTTGAACCATAAGCCATTTCAAAGTTAGCTAAGTGTTCTATGTTACCTTATATTAAGAAATATAAAGTGAATTCGAATTTAAAGATAATGTTTAGTATCAGCAATTTTTTTTTGTTAAGGTTTAAAAATTCTCTGTACATACACAGTTCAACTAGGAACAATCTTGTTCTTTACTATTTCTGATTTTCTTAACTTTTGTGGCTTTCAAACCTTACTAGTGTACGTCACTTGAAACTTTCTCTGGGCCTCCAAGTTAATTCACTAACAAAATGGACCATGGGTGGCCATTTACCAAAGCACACTATGCCTGTGGGATTACCATCCCTGTGTATGAATCTTGAGATCTAAAATGTCCCATCAACACAGCATGGCAGCTGCTGACTAAACTTGCAGTACTCCAGAAACTCAGAATGGTCTCTTAAAGACAGCCCTGCTGGAGACTGTCTAGGTTGTGTTGCTTGGGTGGACCGCCCTTGGATTAGAGAAATGTGCAAGCCATAATGCCTGCAATTGTGCTTTTCACAGAGCCAAATACGCTGTTGTTGATTAATAAATAATGGGTTGTTTATCTTGGAATTGTTTTTATTGGCAGATGCCCTGAAAGATTCAAAGGCTGTCTGTAAATGAAGAATGCCTTTATTGTTTATTCGGTGCCTGCTTTTCTATTCAGCATGAGGGTATTTTGGGAAAATTTTTTGAATATTAAAAACACAAGTAAAATATAGGCAGTTTTATCCCTAGATTTTCAAATAGGCTATTTAACTACAACCTGTTTTCAGATGGCTCTGATGATCTGGATTTACGTACATGTGTGTCTGGAGAAGGAAAGGGAGTGAAGGGAGAGATGAATCCCAGAAGTTTAACATCTAATTTTATCAGTCATAAATAGCTTAAATAAATCCAAGTACATTTTTGGTTGGTTGACTGTGTGTCTAGCACAAGCTAGCTTCTGATAATTCAAATAGAAACATGTGCAAAATAAGAGACTGGAGGAATCACATGCAGAGTGGGTCAGGGGAGGTTGACAGAGGAGATAGAGAATCACCGGAGTGGCAAGAGCAGAGAAAATTGCATTCTGGCAAGAGAGACAGTATGTTTGAAGATGTGTGGTATGATCAGCAGTGGGTGTTCTTAGAACTGTAAGTTGTTCAGTAACGCTGAGCTTAATGTGCTGTAGGACTGGCCCTGGGAAAATTGGAATATGGGACCCATGGTGAACATTTCCATTGTCTCATATAGTTACCCATCTCCTGCATGGCAAGAATAGCTATAATCTATTCATTTAGCAACAATCCTGAATACAGTACAGTATTATTAAATGTAGTCTTTAAAGTTGTACATTAGATTTTTAGACTTATTCATCCTACATATTTGCTGCTTTGTATCTCATTTTATTATAAAACAAAATTCAGCTCTGTGAATTCGGGTCATGAAAATCCTGGGCCCTGTATCTCAAAACAGTAGTAAATTCCTCCAGGACATGTAGCCTTGGCCAAAGAGAAGGTGAAGCCAATTGATAGATGTGTTATATCTTCCATGTCTTGTGTCCTGTGCTCAGATGTTCTGGATATCCAGCAATCAATGAGAGTCTGACAAATAATTTATCTAATTTGATATAAAGATAGCAGCTGTTGTGTCAGTGTGAAGGGTATTTTAGAGGTCCCTAATTTTGCAAGTGGTCATTTCATTAGTAGTATTTTCAGATTACAATGGTATAGCACTAGAGGTTCAAATCTGTAGAGAGTGAAGGAGAGTTTTGAGACTGGATCCTGGCTTTATGACTTACATGACAAGAAATATAAAAAAATTCAGCTGGACACCTGTTTTTGTCTAGCACACCATTGCATCGCCAGTGTTAGCTAATTATGTTGTCTATATATTAGGTGTTTAATAAGAGCGATTGAGTATAGTGCATAAGAGATAGCTATTTGAACATGTGACATTTTAAAATGATTTTTCATGTGACTTTCTGGCTACATGTTGGCCACTTTCTAGCTAATTGTTGTCTACTTCAGAAGGGCCAAAGGTTAAAATTAAGATAATCAGGCAGTTAAAACATCTGCCAATGGAGAGCAGAAACTTGAATAAAGCTAACTTATAGTGCATCAGTTTGCTATAGAAGATTGAATTTTTTAATTATTTAGAGAGTATATACAGTAAAAACATTTTTTTCCTGTTGAGGTTGTTGAATTTAAGTATAATGAAGTAATAGGCAGATGAGGCTTGTTTCTGAGAACTTTTCTATGTGTTTGGAAACCAATAATGCTCATATTATTTATTAAATAATGTTTTGTATGTTAAAGGTATACAACATGATGTAACAGGATATGGGTATATATAGTGAAATATAGTAAAACAGATTAACATATCCATCATTGCATATAGTTACTCATTTCCCCTGTGGCAAGAACAGCTATTATCTACTCATTTAGCAAAAATCCTGAATATAATGCTGTATTATCAACTATAGTCCTTGTGTTGTATATTAGATCTTTAGACTTATTCTCCTACATATTTGCTGCTTTGTATCTCATTTTAATATAAAACAAAATTCACTTCTGAGAGAGAAAGAGAGTGTATGTGTATTGGGAGTCGGACACTGGATTTACTTAAGTGATAATGATGCATTTAGAAATCTTATTTTTTTTTTTTTTTTAAGGTGCTGGTGAATCTGGGAAAAGTACAATTGTAAAGCAGATGAAGTAAGTAGATTTAAACACTGCATTTGTGTTTTGTTTTGTTTTGCTTTTTTACATGTACCCTTTCATCAAAGGAAATAACTGGTTTTTTTTCCCTCTTTATCATTAGAATTATCCATGAAGCTGGTTATTCAGAAGAGGAGTGTAAACAGTATAAAGCAGTGGTGTACAGTAACACCATCCAGTCAATTATTGCTATCATTAGGGCCATGGGAAGGTTGAAGATAGACTTTGGTGACTCAGCTCGGGCGGTAAGTTATTAAATTTGTTGGAGCAGGCCTGATGAGTAAATAGAAAAACGTGTGTGCTAACACCATACTAACAGAACATAGACCTGTCAGTTGTCTGGACCATCTTATAAAAGGAATCAAAAGGATAGAAGTGAGCCGGAAGCATTAGTGTGAATTAAGAATATATAGGATTGTATAATCTTTCCTTTATAGCCATGCTTTTCTTATCCATCACGTGATTTGGACTGCAGTAGTTCCTATATAGCATATTACATTGGGTACCTCTCTATCCTCATAACAATTTTTTGCAGTTTTTACTGAGTAAACTGCTTACACTGGTCCTCTTCAAAATATGTTTCTATAATTTAGAATGTTGAAATGATTCAATTATTTGTATTCATGCCCAGACTAAAAAGTAATCTAATCTAGAATAATAAAATCAGTATAATAGTTTGCTTATCTTTGGAATAGGAAAATATTGGTTATTAAAAAACATGTATAGAATTTTAGAGCTAAAGGAGACCTTTGGAGACCAAACTAGTTCTACCCCTTTATATTGCCAAGAAGGACACTGGACCTCAGGAAATTCCATGATTGCCACACAGCTGGGTGTAACCAGGGTACGTGGCTGTGCTTCCTGATTAGGCACCTTAACTTGTTTCAGTTTGATTGGAAGCAGTCCAGGTCCAGTCCATAGGACACCTTCTTTTACCTCTTTTCCTTCAACTTGTTTGATTGTTTACTTGGCTTATTTCAAGTTTATTATTAGTGTATGATTCATGCTTTGCTAATTCTTTTTTTAATAACTGATATTAAACTTGACCAGAAACCTTTAGCCGAATCCCTAGCTTAATTTATAATATTTTTTATACAAAGCAGAATGTATTATTATCACTACTGTTTATTTTTATAGTTCCCTTGAATTTCTGTGTGTCCACTATATGTATGTGCTATCTCCCTGCTATTACTATGAAGATTTTCTGTATAGAGATTCTTTCTTTTTGTCTTGGTGTTTGCTAGATTTTTTTAATCATACAGGCTTAATTCATGCTTAATAGGAAAAAATTAATGAAAGCAACATTAAGGAATATACATTGGAGAAATTTGTAAAATAAACTTTTTTTGACAAGTTACTTTAAAATTCTTTATAAGTTAGGTCATATTAATTTGCTAAGTTTTTTACTTTAAACAAAGGTTTAAAAGCTTATTGTGATAAATTACAATTTTCAAGTAGATTTCAAGGTCATGTTTAATAATTTATGCATTATCATTTATTCATTCAGCAAAAATTTTGGGGGACTCAAAAAGCATTTGTTGATTGAATAAATGATAAATGCATAAATTACAAAGTGATTTCAAGGCAAAAAATGTTCTGGATGTGATAAAATCTTATTTCAGAAAAGATAATTTTGAAGAATGTTGTGCATTATTAAAAACAATCTTGAAATCTACTTGGAAATGTTAATCTTACTAAACTTTTTAATCTTTGTTTTGAAGGACTATAAAGAAGGGAACCACTCATAGATTAAGGAGTAGTAATTAATATAAATTGTACTTTGTACCAATTCTGGTTGTGGTAATTAACTTTTTTTTAAAATTCACATTCACGTCTTAGAATTCTGTAGAATTCTACATTCAGTTCTTATATATAGTTATAAAAGAAGAAAGTGTTGTAGTCTTTGTTGTAAGTGGTAATGAAGGGTCAACGCAAGCAGGTTTTTAAGAGTTCTTTTTATTTTCGAGTTTTTCTCCCCAGAAATGTTTTGGCTTTACTCTCTTTTAAAAAAATCATAATGTGGGTTTAAATTCAAGAAGAGAATAACTACTCTCTCACCACAAGCTTTTTTTTTTTACAGGTTTTCTGATGTTTTGGAATCTATATGTAGACCTGCTTTGCTCATCTTTGCTTCACTAGTGCTGGTTTGATCGTGTCTTTTTTCACTCACTCTAGCTATACCCCAATAACTTTTCTTCCTACCTTAAGACTATTACTTGTGTTTACTTTAGCTATTGAAATTAGCTCATTCACACAAATGTCTTCATGTTCTCACTTTACTTCTGATTGGCTTACTCCATGTTTGGTGTTGCCTTGTCTTTACATAAGCTTTTAAAAACTACAGGACTTTTGGAATGTTAATAAGGAATAAAAAGATAAAAAGAACATTTGAACTGAGTATTGAAACACAAGTAAGAATTTTCTAGACAAAAATAGGAGAAAAGCATTCTAGGAATAAGAAACAGTATATTCAAAGGCAGTCTGAATATGTTTCTATTTTTGAAGTTTCAGTTTCCGGAAGTATTAGCCTTGTATTGAAGGAGAACCAGATAGTTAATTTTAATAGGTTCCATAGATTTGCATCCCAAAGAAAAGCAATGTAAATAATCCCTTCTAGCTATCATATATCAGGATCTGTTTTACCAGAGACTCATAAACTTAGATGTTATCAACATTTTAATATTTGATGGATGAGAAACTTTTTTTTCTTTTTTTATTTCTCTTGTTTTTAGTGAAATTCAGAATTGTTTTAAAACACTTTGCCCACTTGTATTTCTCATCTGAATTTTTGTTAGTAGTCTCTACTCATTTCTTTTCAAGTACTTGTCCTTTTCACATTGATTCTCTTTTGAATATTAACACTGTTAACTCTTCATTGTATAATGCAATTATGTTTTTGCCCAGCATATTTTTTTACTTATTCTAAACAGTTTTTTTTTGTTACAGAACTGTTAAGATTTTTATAGTTGATTCTGATATATTTTAGAAAGGCATTCTTCACCTTAATATTATTTAAAATTATCTTATTTTTTGAAAATGATTATAATTTTATTTTTTATATCTATCTCTTTACCCACTTATAAATGTTATTTGTGTTTGTTGTTAAGTAGGATCTAAGTATATTCAATAATCTGATTATCACCTGCCTTACAGTCATTTATTAAATAATCAGTCTGTTCCTTAGTGACTTGAAAATCCTACCCTTAGCATTAAATTGGGAGTATTTCTGGACATTGTTGTTTTTTTTTTTTTGTATTGATATTTTTCCACCACATCAGTCATTTATTAAGCTATTCAACATCTTTAAGATGATTTCCTCATAATTAAATGGAACTAATGATAGCATCTAACTTGTATGGTTGTGATAAATAATAGCATAATGAATATTAAGCACTTACTGTATGCCTTGTGTAATAGATACTCAACAAGTGTTTGTTATTGCTATTTATAATTATTATTGCACTACTATTATGCTTGTCAGAATTACATTCAATCCTGTTGCTACATAAGATTCATTGATATCTGATAGGGTAGGATTACCCCATCCCATTCTGTCCTTCTTTTACCAAATATCAAGGCCGGCATGCATTTCTCTTCCAGATTAACTTGAGAGACAGTTTAATCCCCTCAACCCTATTGAAACAAAACAAAAACAGTCTGTTGGTATTTTGGTTGGGATTACATCTTAATATGTAAGTTAATTTGTTGAGAAATGAGTAAGAGGATATAAAATTTTAAGAAATGGTGACTAATTTGCTATGGTTTGCTTTATATATGGCAGTTTCCAGATATGCAAAACTGAGTACACATTAGTTATTTAAAATGAGAGGAAACAGTTGTTTTCAAGCCTAGGACAGAGCAGTCAAATTTTAGGTCTAATGAGGATAATCTCTCTATGGATGGTAATATATTGATAGCTTAGATGATTATGTTTCTAATAATGTAAAGTCAGAGAAGCATTATGCAGGGGCCTATTAGCATGTCTCAGGCACTGGGGGCTTAGAACAGTGCTGCTGAAACTGCTGTCCATGGAACGGTGCCCACAAGAATGTTCATAAAATTAGTGCAGAGATTAAGGGTAAACATTTAGGCAGGTTTATAGCAATTGACAGAGTGATTTTTATGTTAACTCTGATTGTTTTAAAAATATAGAATTATGTTTTGTATGTCTTTTAGTTTTATTTTTCTGGTAGTATTCTGAAATAGATTGGAAACAAATGGAAATAAAATAATGCTGGTTCTTCATCACAGATAGTTTGAAAAGCATTTACTTGGAATACTGTAGGCTGTCAGGAACAGGAAATCTTGCCTTGAAATTAAAATTTTTTGCAAGTTACTAGGCCATATTAATTTACTAAGATGTTTAACTTTTAAAAAAGATCTGAAAGTTTAAAATCTCCTTCTCCTTCCCCAAGCCTCAGTGTGTGCCTGTATAATGGCCACTTTTCTGTTCTAATAATTTTGTTATTTATTTTAATTAGTTAGTTAGTTTATATCTGTTTGCCAGATTTGATTTGCCATATTGCGTTTGAGAAAGGTTGTATCAACTTACCTTCCCTTCAGCAGTTTGCTAGAGTGCCTGTTCTTAAGCACTCTGGGCAGCCAAATTTTGGGAGTCTTAGATTTAAAAAATCTTTGCTAATTTGCTATTAGTAAATCATATGTCTACCATACCTGGCTAACTTTTTTATTTTCTTGTAGATACGAGGTATCACTATGTTGCCTAGGCTGGTCTCAAACTCCTGGGTTCAAGCAATCCTCTGGGCTCAAGCAATCCTCTTGCCTCAGCCTCCTAAAGTGCTGGGATTGCAGACTTGAGCCATAGCACCCAACTATTGACTCTTTTGTTATTTCTCTATGTTTGTGGCTTCAGTTTTTTATTCATTTACCTACTGTTATTATGGTGTTTTGATTATCTCTTTGCTTCTTTATGTGTACATATGTATAAATCCTTTGTCTACTGATACAGATGTTCTCTCGCATTTTGCTTATTGCCTTTAATGTTATGGTAGTGCTGCCTTTTTAAAAGCTTCCCGTTATTTCTTCTGTCATGTTCAAATATAGAGGATACTCTCTCAATCAAAGGTTTACCAAATATTTACTCTGTTTTAAAAGCTATTTAGGCTGGACTCGGTGGCTCAGCCTGTAATCCCGCGCTTTGGGAGGCTGAGGTGAGTAGATTGCCTGAGCCCGCGGGTTTGAGACCTGCCTGGG